TAAAAAAAAAAAAAAGAGAAAAAAAAGAGAAAAAAGCCAGACAATCTGGCCTCTCCAAGCTCCAGCCATTCCTGCAGACAGAAAGTGGGAAACCCTTCGACAGCCGGGACCCACACTTCAGCACAATAGCTGCTCGAAGTCAAGAATACAGCAAGATAATGCATTACCGACCAAGCACTGCAGAAACCTCAGCAACTTCAGTCTGAATTTGCCTTTTTTTTTTTTCCCCCTTTTTTTCCTGCAGCTGGACAATCTGGCTTTATGTTCCAGTCCTTTCCTGCTCTGTGTTTGTGTACTCATCTTTTCTAAACATCCAGGCTTTCTGATCAGCAAACAACATAGTAGCCGAAGAGATCACTTAATAGTTCAACTGGCCGTGTGAGGATGTGTGGCTTGTTTTGCATTCTTAATTGCATGAATAAATCTGGTGCTTTTTTTTTTTATTATTATTTAAAAAAAAAGAGATTTACAGTCATGAGAATGCATATGTAAATTAAAGCACAGTAAGAACAGCACAGATTGCTGGCAATACAGACTTTCTTCACCAGTCCATCTTCGCTTAACTACAGGTATCACTTCAAATGAACTCATTTCTACACCTATTACTGGCTTCTTTGCTAAAGCATGGTGTGGCCTGCTTATTACACAGCTGTAATAAGGACCTCCCCCAGGAGCAGGATATAATAAAGTAACAAATTTTGGCAAGGACTTCATAGCCACAACACACCTTTAATTTCTGTTTAATTAAAAAAGTTAAGAAGTTGGTTATCACCAGTTTTTCTGACTCACAGTAACACACTCAAATCACGAAGTTTGCCCTCTGAAAGAATATACTAATATTTTTTAAGTGCATTTGTGTTTTACAGAGATATCTATAACAATATAAATTCACGACAGAGCATCGTCATCTAAATGACAGTTACTTAGTTTTAGTGCCCTATGAGTTTCTTCAGGAAGGGAAATGTTGTCTTTGTCAACACTGAAAGCCAGTTAAGCTGAGTGAGTAAGCAACAAGCAATTTGGCACCGCACTCCTCTCCGAGCCCCCGAATCTGGGACCTCTGAAATCCCCCTTAAGAGCACGGTAATGGGGACACAGTGAGAATGCAGTCAAGTTTGTTAAGCTTTCTTGTTTTTCTGCCTGTGTGTGATGTAGACAAGGAGCTTCTTGTGAGCGCAGACCTGATTTTGCATTTGTGGGTATGATACAGATCCAATGATCGAGCTGATGACAGAACATGCAGAAGATGTTTCCAAAAGCACGCGGCACAGTCGCACTGCAGATGGACCAACTTTAGCGTTCAATATCTATCAAAGCTCTAGCAGTTTTTAGAAGTTGATGATTATTGCAAAGCATTCCTAAAGCTCTCGCTCTTGTTCTCTTTGATCTTTAGGTGTATCAAGATCATTCATGATGCTACTGAGACGTGCAAATCTAAACCTTCTTCCTTTGGAAGAGGAACTCTGGAGTCTTTTCCTGGTACTTTCAAAAAAACAAATCACAGTGCCCTAGTAAAAGGCTCAGAAGATTAGATGGAAATGGAACCGAATATGCTATTAACTACATACTTTTTTTTTTTTTTAAATTTAGAAGTAATTATACTGTACTGATTACTGTACCTTAAAGAAAGGCAGTAGGGAAAAGAGTTCTCAGATTTTGTCTACAGGAAAAAAAAGAGTGCTTAGCTTTGTAAGTTACTTCTCTCATCCCAGACCTAAAAGACTCAGGGATATGCTTCCCCTTGCCCCACCTCAGCACTCTTTACCTAGCCACCTTGAAGCTCCAGAAAAAATTCCCCATTATGTTCTCCAACTCCAGGTTCCCTCAAGACAGAGGAAATATTCCTGTGTCTCCAGGCAGAGATCTACAAATACACACAGGACTTCAGAGAAGGGACAAAGGTACTCTCACAGTTTTTGCAAAGAGGCCAGAGGTCATGGCAGAGCTCATGGAGGCAAGGAAGGCAGAGGGCTCTAACCCCAACAATCAATGCCAAGAGCTGTAACCATGGGCAGCAGCCTCCACAATGATTTCAACACACGCCATCTCTGAGGACCATTGCACTCTCAGGAAAAGGGTCCTAAGGGAGCCAACAGAGAGAAGAGAGAGAAGTAGGGTGTACCCCCAGCAAGAGATAAACAAGAACAGGGTAACTGCGGACTTTTTGAGGTACAGCGTAAGGACCACTTAAACCCATTTACATTTGGGATGCTGTGAGGATTCTGTCCTTCCTCTTCTGTGCTGACTGTGCAGCCTCCTCATGCCAGCACTGGCACTCGGTTGATCTCATGGTGCAACCGTTCAAGAATTTAAACAGGCAGAGAGCAAACTCTGCCAAAAAAAAAAAAAAAAAAGAAAAAAAAAAAAGAAAAATTTCCTGTTGATTTGATTCCTTAAGCCGGTTCACCATGAGGTCAGACAAGCAGTAACGCCACTGCGAGGGAAGAGACAGACCACAGCCGGGCTTATCTAAATAGCACTCAAAGCCAACTGAAGCAGGCCCTACACGAGCACTTTTCTCCCTCCTCTTCTCAAGGCATTATCTTCGTATCTACGCCAAATCATTCTTCTTGCACGTTCAGACTGCCACACTCGATCTTCCTCTCCTTTTGCAGTTGCACATTGGGGTAAGGACGAGGGAAGAGACAAATATTTACTATAGGCAGGATTTAGCTACCTGGAGTTGCAAAGGGCATGTGAGTTTTAAAGTATAATATCACCTTCTACATCCAGCCTAAATATCTGAATGTTCAATCAAGAATTCAGCAGAGATTTACACTTATGGAAAAAAAAAAGCAGCTTTAATTATTTATCTACAACAATGCAATCTGACTGAACAGTGGTAGACTCGCATGCTGGACACAAAAAAAAAAGAACAAGTTTGCTCCACAGCCTGGATTTGCACACTGGTGCAGAACAGCAGAATCCCTGGGAAGTGTGTGCTTTCCCTGCACAGCCACGTTACCTACCTACACCATCCGCCCTCACCAACAACAGGCCTGTTATGCCCCAATGCTTCAAACAATTCTCAAACTGCCCTCAGATGCCCAGAACAATCTTTATCATAATCCCCACCCAAGCTAACTTCCACCAAACCCCTGTGGAACCCATCTTTGGGTATCCACAATTTCAGAGTTTTACTTTTTCATTAAAGCACAGTTATGAGTTATCAAACTTCTCCATTACTCCCAGATCACCTGGAAGGAACCCACACTCAGAAACTTTGTCTGAAAGACACGAGCATGCGACTTAAGCAGCTTGCAAGGGAGCACGATTCAGACGTCCTGTATGTAAACCAGACCAAATGTGGAGGTCTGAGCTCAGTTGTAAGTGTTGGACTTCCATTTATTCCAAATGACCAGTTTCCAAACCTGATTTCCTACCATGGAGATTTAGGAGATGACAATCTTCTATCATTTCATATGTGTTTTCCTCTGGAATTAATGTAGACTCGCATTCCTAAGTGGTTCTTTCTGAAGCCTTTCCTGTTCTTGTAAACATTTTGGGAACAAATCTGATTTGTTTCATGGGCCACGCAGATCACAGGGGGCTGGCTGTCCCATGATTGCTGTGGGACGTTGCTCTTCAGCATGACAAAGCTCAATTGTTTAGCACTTATAGCACATGACAGCTACATAAAACCAAATTCAGTGGAGAATTGCTGCCTATATTTCATGACTATGGCTTCTAAATTAATATTTTAGAACCTATTTCCAGAAGAAATCATACTTATAACCTAATAGATTCTAAATTACCTCCTCACGGCTCTTGGAAGACGTCGTCAGTGATGTGCCTTTTACAGACATGCAGCCAGCTACTTTAGCAGTCAAGAGCCCAAGAACCAAGGAAGCCATAGAGAGAGTGTGTCCATACACACACCGTCACCAACCGTGATGCAGTACGGTACCTTCAAAGGTTCATTGAGCATACGAGGCAAGGAAAAAGTGGATTTTTTATTATCTCAATTGTTTCAGTTGGAACGCAAGAACTGTTACAGGTATCTTTAATGTATGAAAACATTATATGTAAAGAGATCAGCTAAGCTAACAGATCTGGTGCAGAAGTCCTGATGTTGCATTGATTCAGAATTATCTGAATTCAGTCAATGCTGCTTTGAGAGAAGGTAAGGCCAAATGACCTCCTGAAGCTGTTTCCTTCTCCTGGGGAGAACATAGTACCCATGCCAACCCTCACAGAGCTTTTGTATCAGGGTTTGACCTGACACAAGTGAATGTGGGTGGTAGTATTAGGGTCCAAAACTCAGTTTTCTGATGATTGATGGATGTGAAGACTGATGTTTTACAGTTGTGATCAAACTCCTCACATGCAGCATGATGGCTGCCCTCCGTGAACCAGGATTTTTAATATTTCAAGCCTAATGCCAGTTCCATTTGCTTCTTTTTTCCCTCTTATTTAAAGAAAACAGCCATGAGATACACACATATAAGAACTGCTCATACTTCAGTGAGTTACAACAGCTTTGTCTGCTGATGAGTACAAGGCTCTTGCTAAGTTATCCTTCAAAGCGTACAGCTCCCACTTTGCTCAGAGCTATGTTGCCATCTCATTACCCTTTTCATACTGGGTAACTGTAAGCCTGTTTCTGTCCAAGTAAATGAAGGAACAGTTTGAGAAGTAGATAAGGTAATTACTTTGTCTTCTTTATCTCCAGATTCTCAATTAGTTGATCTTTGCCTCCTGCATCTTTACTGCTGAATGGTAAACTACCGTGTTCCCATGAGAAGCTTTTTTCCACAATCAACGTTTCTATAACCACCAGTGAGCTCAAGTCCTTGAGTGGGAGAAGAGTAGACCTAAGTCTGGAGCAAGGCAACCACCAACAGGAAAAAAAAAAAAAAAATATATATATATATATATATATATAAGCAGTACTTTGGATGCAAGGGAGACAAGTTATGTAGGAAGCTTAGTTTTCTCAATGCCTTCCTGACAGACCCACTGATAAGGGAAAAAACGTATGTGAGAGGAAAAAAAGCACATTCAGACTTTAAATATAAGTCTTTACTTGATATCCTCTTAATATTTTTTGGAAGCACAGCTAAGAAATATCAAAGTAATCAATATTTGCCAGAAGTTAACCTTGTTCCCAACATTGAAGGTATTCTGTAGCAATCATACTGCAGCATTTTATTGAACAAACTAAAGGCAGGTCAAATGAACAGGTACAGCTTGAGAATTATACATGTTTGAACAGACAATAAATTCTTAAATTACATGTTTTGCCTTTACCAGGGTACAGATGTTTGATTAAAAAGATATACTTGGTCTCAAAGTGATAACTTTGGACTACAACTGGCAATGTCTTTGGAAGCTTCAGTGATTATTTTTAAACCAGGTGAATTTGCCCAAGAGTTTTGCCTCATGAAGCATCAGCTTAGGAGTTAGGAACTTCAGAGTGCAACGAAAAACAAGATGGCTTCTTCTGTGCTTTTAGAAATTCATTTTAAAAGAAAAGCTCTCCAGTGGTACTAAATGCTTACTAAATGCTTGAAGTTTTTTGTCCAGAAGTTGCCCTGATGCACCATATGATGGCTTTAAAGAAGCAGCTCACAAATGGTGTCCTTCAAATGGGTTCAATCCTATTAAAGAAAAAAAAAAGAGACACCAGTGGCACCTGAGATACACATCCCACAGAACAAGGCGGTGAATATTTTAGGCTGGTTTTATGAAACAGAAGTGCTGCTGGGAAGCAGTGATCAGTAGTCAGTTGTGTAACGTGAGCCCTCCAGTGAACTTACTTGAGCTTCCAGAACAAACAAGAAAACCCTGTCCTTGTTTTATGGATAAGACAAAGTGCACTGGAAAACATCTCTGACATTTATTACACGCTTCTGTGAAGGGAGAGAGCTGCCTACCTTTTGAAGTGACTGAACAGCCATTAGAGGTATTAAAAGTGAAGAAAAGTGTTTCAGAAACAGGAAAAGGCCATCCGATGAAGTTAACAGACAAGAACCAACACATGATATGAAGAATATTCTACAGAATAAAAAGGCACTTCCCACTGATCAGCCCTATGATAGCTCCTAATATAGCTTCCAGGAAAGACATTTCATCCTTTCCCCCCACTTCAGGTGCAGTAGTGACATTCATAAGCAAGTTCTATAAAAAGAAGTTAACAGTTGTTTCAGTTTTCTTTAATATCTCTAGATCCACATCTTGAAATTATCCACTCAAACCAACTTATCGCAGGACTAACAGGCAACAGGAACCACATCTCAGCTGGTGCTGGCAGAGTTGCACAGGCACGTTTCCAACTCAGAGAACAGAGATGCCAGAGCTGCCTCTGTAAAGAGCCTTTCTGAGCCTCGCTTGTCTCTATGCATGCAAAGACGAGCAGAACCACGCTTTTCTGTTTTGATTTTTTTATTTAAGATTGAAGCAACACTGAGATGATAACTGTATTTACCTCACTAGGCTCTCCTTGAGCTAATAACCCTGCTGAACCCTAGCTTGCTCCAGTCACAGCATAAATATTGATCTACGGAATAGCAACTGCAGATTGTTGCCTTCATTATCATTTTTTTTGGGCTCCTGCACTACTCATACGTAATACCCATGGGTATGCAGACAGCACACGATCCACTCAGAGGTAGAAATGTTACCTGATCAATATAAGCATCCTAAAATCTATGCTAGAAGACTTAAAAACAGAAATCCAACATGACCACAGACTATCATCCCCTGAAGGCATGTGTTATGCTGCCAGACATGATCAGAAGGTGATAAGAAAAGAATTTAAAAAAACACTACAGATCATGTACAGGAAGCAGCTTCGGGGTTCCACCTTATCACTCCAATCTGCTCCTAGTTTTGTCATTAATGTGAAATGGCCAGACAGACAAAACAGTCGGTACAGAACTTAGAATATATAAATGTTAGTACTAAGTTTCAAATAAAATTAACTCTACTTTTAGGTGCAAAGTATATTTAAGACACTGCAGTCTTCCATTAACTTTTTTTTTTTTTGAAAAGTTGCTTAAGAAGTAAGGGCCATTCCTATTCCTCCCCTGTTCTGCAGGTTTTGGTCTATTTGTCAGTCATTTACATTACTGGGTAAAATTATTCCCAGTAATTTGTTGTCTACTCTCTTTTAGTGTAGGATGTGTGCAGCTTTGATCCTTGGAGTTGCCTTCTTGAGCAGGCCAAGACGATCTCAAGACTAAGATGATTACAGGCAGTATGCACTACTGACTCCTGAAGTGCTCCAACTGCTGCTGATGTTCAAGGGACCAACATCTCAGATACAGCTACACATTCAAAAATTTCAGGCTTGTTTTCCTTTCTAAAAGCAGCACTGAGCACTTCCCTACAGCAATTTTAAGTCCTGTTGATTGCATGAGATGCCTAGCACCAGCACTGAGCAATCAGGAGAGAAAACTGTCATTTGAGAGACAACTTTTGTTTTCCAGAAGCACACAAGAGTTGTCCATTTTTACTTTTTTCTAGGAGGTGGATTGGGGTGGTGGGTTGTTATTATGGAGTTACTTTTACCACTAGCTAATAAATGCTTTCCAGAGTGAGCTCATTTGTACATATTCCACATTAGAGGGCTCCGTGAATTGTAGAGCACCACAGGTCTGTCTTTCTTTAAAAAACACACAGTTGCAATATCTCCAAGCCATTGCACAAGAATGCAACATTAGAGCATTCAGACATCTGCGAGGCAAGTATTGCACCCTGTCTTAAAAGCAGAGGGGCTGGGCAGAAATACAGTCTTAAAATTTGGGAGATATTGGCACTAGCCATGTCGCATTACATGGCATCTCCAGCTCTGTGTCATGGCACAAAGTAGGCACTCTTGTGCCATAAATAAAGCAGAGCCCCAGTTCAGAAGCTAGTAGTAAAATACTTTGCTCAAATCCAGTATGAGAAGACAACAGCAGTAAGAGAAACCTTACAGAATGCCCAGGAGAGAGTTCATTGTTTTCCACTAAGACTGGAACAGCACATTCCTATCAGCAGCTTATTACTACAACAAACTGATTATGTAGGTGCAAACAGATTAGGTAGGGACTACTACAGATATACAATTGAAAAAACAGTATTTTGATGCAATTAGAGCTTCTTCTCAGGACAGAGGAGACTAGCATCATATAGCAAGAGTGTAGAGTCTGCATATAATGCAAATGCTTGAGCAACAAACAGCTGAGCGGAAAGGAAGAGAGGCAGAACGAGGACAGAGGGATTCCTCGAGGAGAGGTTAATCTGCTGCCACACACAAATACCCTGTTAAACACTGACCAAGAGTTTGTGTGCCATGTGGGAGAATGTTAATTGTTTACAGGTACTCAGGGTTGGATGAATACCAGGAAGCAGCACTGAGAAAGTCCATTGTACAATTAAGATGGGAGAGGAATCGCTGAAGGAGGCACTTTCATTTAAGTCCGTCCTGCTAGCTCCTAACCTAATTATTTACTACTGAGGGTTTCCTTTCCCAAGATTGAATTCAAGGAACAAAAAAAAAACCCTGAAAGAATGTTTTCTTTTTCTTGTGGGAAGAAGGGTACACATATGGGGGACAGGTCTTTGTTTGATGTAGCACTAACCACTATTTGCAGAGGACAGAAAAAATTCCTTCTAGTCTATTTGATAATGGCTTCAATGCCTGCCACTCAGGTGATTCATTATTAGCGCTCCTGTCTTACATCCCTATCAGAAAGGCTATAAAGCCAGTAACACTTTTCATGCGAACAGGATAACACCTACAAGGATTTAGCTAAAAACTCTCAAACCACATGCCTACCATTCCAAGAAAATCACTGCTTTACTTTTAAGCCATATTTTGGTGAAGTTGGCCAAATGCTCAAGTTCTGTCAGCATCTCCTCCCAATTTCTCTTCTGTATAAGACTTTCTGAATATTTCTGAGGATTCTGCCCACATGTAATAACTTCTGAAGTTGGAAGCGGAATGCATGTTGAAGGAGGCTTACTACAGAGAGAGCTCAGGATTCAGCTTTCAACAGCTTCTGATTCCTCCACGTGTGCACAGAGCTTCTGGTTATCGCCTGTACAGACTGTTACCTTTTCTGCTGTTTGCCACTTGAGTTGCATCCCTCCCCTATATAACCAGTGGAAATAGATGCTTTCCTTAGACAGAGCAGTTCACCTAGAATTGTCATTACCTCCTAAGGTGCCTTTTTTCTTCTCAAAGCCTGTAGGGGGAACGATGACAGCCACGGTTTGTATGCCAAACAGGATTACTCAGACCTGAACTTAGCACCTGCCTGTCTCTCCTTGGAAAGAATGACCAATAGTTACTGACCCCAAACAGCCCCCTCTTTATTATCTATCATTAACTGTATGTACACAGGGACACATGAATGCTTAACCCCACCAGATGCATTTCAGGTAGGCCTATCTTAGTCCTGTATCTGCAGGACAGGCTCACTTCAGCACAAAGGCTCTCTAGGAATGAGGATGATAAGGAAGTGCTCCTTGGGGTATTCGGCAAAGCCCATTTCTTCCTCCATCTCCTGGGCCTGGTTAAACTAGTTGGGGCAGCTTACCAGGGGCCCGGAGACAGACTTCAAAGTGTTTGGTTCTCTTCCATTGTCTCCCATGTTTGTGGAGCTGCTGTTATCAGGCTATTGTCTCCATTCATTCACTCAGACGGGGAGTAAACCACTTACATCCTCACGGAGCAGCTACCACAACAGGCTTGTCTGAGGGTTTTTTAGGGAAAGAAAGCTGGTGAGGAAAGGCTCATGCTCCAGATATGGAGGGCCACGGTCCGTCACACAGACCACCACTGCACTGGCTTCTGCCTTACCTCGCCCTCTCTCAGGCTTAACAGCCTCAGACTGAAGTCTCATTTCATTTCACATTCTCTAACTCTTCACATAACACCCCCCAAAATCTGCTCCACCTCTTTCAGACAGAAAAGCGAGGTGAGGTAGCACTCCCCAAGGTGTTCATGCAAACAGATTTTTGAGCATATGGGCTAGGATCCTCAGGCGCGTTTCCTTTTCCTTTGGATTTCAGTACAATTTCTGGACAGCAGCAGATTGACAGAGACAAAAGCAGCAGAGGAATGGAAAAGATTAACGAGCCCCCTGGTTCCTGCATTGGCAGGCTGCTCTCTGCCCTCGACATCCACCTATTCGCCTGATTTCGAGTAGGATTATTATAATTTGAGGGAAAGGAAGTGCACTTTATTTAATTCTAGAGTGTCACTGAGAGAAGCACAGGCTCCCCTCCTACAGCACAGGGCTGCGGGCTCCCCCAGCAGCTCCCCGGGGCCGCCGCGCCCTCGCCTCCCCTCAGCAGCCGCGGCCCGAGCCCGGCGCCCTCCCACGGGTGCCACCTAGCGGCCTCCCCGCCGCTCCTCCCGGCCCCACACGGGCCCAGCACCGCGCTGCGGCTGCAGCCGGCGCCGTCCCGCAGCCACAGCCGCTGGTTTCTGCCTCCGAGCCTCGGCCGGCGGCACGGCGAGGCCACCCGCTGCCCCTGGCCACCGGCCGTCCTGCTCCTGCTCCCTGCGGGGCTCCACGTTGCAGAGAGCCGGGGAAAGAGCAAAAACTTATCGTATTTTTTCGCCTTCCCGGCACGCTTCATGCCACATTTGTAGCCGCAACTTCCT